CCCCCCCGCTCCCCCACAGCTTACTTTTGGCTGCCATTTTCTTAAAAATTGACTTTTAGAGCTACTGTCCATGGGACCCAGTAAATGTCTAATCCTTGGCGATTGAAACTTTCACTCACTTTCACTGTATTACTGTTAGTCTGCTTTCTGTGCATCCATTTTGGTTGAAAAAACGGAGGTACTGGGGACACAGAAACAGAGGCTGAGCAAGCAGCCTTCATCAGCTTGTCTTGCTTTAGATCTTTGGCCAACAAAGCACTTTGATAATGTCTCTTAATTCTTCCTGCTTTTCCAGCCATGAAGCTATTTGGGCAACTGGTGATAAACTGGAATCTTCTAAATTAAATTCACTGTAAACCTTGTGTCCCATTACAAACCCAGCAGAGACAGGGGAGTCCTTTGGGCTGAGTTGCTCAGCTAACTCAGGTATCATTGTCTCTGGCCAGAGCTGCATTTTAGCTTGATTTGGAGCTATTCTGAGGTTGGGAGATGACTAGGCTGAATGGTGGGACTGTGTGGTAGTTAATTACTTTCCTGGCATTGTGGAGCTGTGAGACTTTTCTAGCTGTTTATCTCTTCATTCTGTCTTGCAGTGGTTGACTTCATCTCATCAGACCTGGAGGAAATTGCCCAGAAATGTTCTCTGTCTTACAAGGTGAGAGGAGACTCTTGAATGCTGATGTTTACCCTGGACCACAACCCTGCTGTAGTAGTGGCTGGACAAAGAGATGGTCCTGCCTCAAGGAGCGTCTACTTCCAAAGCTCCTCAACCTTGTAGTACCTCAGTCTCATGTGTGGCTGGCTGTCTGTCCCCACAGGCTTTGGTGGCAGTGAGACGTGTTTTGCTGGCCCAGTTCTCAGCATTTCCCATCAACGGTGCTGATCTGTATGAGGAACTCAAGAGCTCCATGGCTATCCTGTCTACAGGGAGCAAGAGGTGAATGTGTTGGGCATGTAGAGAGGTTTGTGTGTGTTACATAGGCTATTGCTGGAAGCTGAGGGGTTTGTGTGTGTTACGTAGGCTATTGCTGGAAGCGGAGTTGGGTTGGAATTTTGATCCCAAAATGCCCCAAGTGCCACCTGGATGAGGTTGGACCTGAGACTGGGTCTGCCAGGATTCCACACCTGTAAGGACTGGGCTGAGGCCCTTGGCACCTGGAAGCAGCAGGATTGCCTCCTGAATACAGGGCAATTCTACTTTTCCTGTCAGAATTGATAGTCTCATCCTAGTTGAAGTCACCAGTCTACGCCTGTGCTATTACAGATGTGCAAAGGTGCTGCAAATTTAATTCACGTGCAATTGTATTTGCACAATGGCAGCATCAGGAGTGGAAAGCTTTTTCGCAGCTTTCAGAATGTGCCAAGCAATTATGCACATGATAATTTAATAAAATCCTAGAACGGGTTGGCAACATTTTTGGACATAGTGCCAAGAACACCTGCAAACTTGGCTTTCAAAACGTTGGTGTGCCAGGAGCGGATGGTGGGGGAGCTACAAAGGGCCCGATCCTTATTGTGGCAGGGAAGGGGCTGGGGCTACACTGCCGTCTGCCTCGAGGTACGTGAGCCAAGCAAAATGCCTTTGTGTGCCACACTCTGGCACCTGTGTCGGGGGTTGCCTGCCCCATCCTAG